TTTTTGGTACTGGGGATCGAGCTCAGGTCCTTGCGCTTGCATAACAGGCGGCGAAAACACTGAGCTAAATCCCCGGCCCAAACTGTGGTAACTTTAGTCCCAGCCAACGCTTCTAGTCTGAAGCCCCACTGGGACCTTCACTCCCAGTCAGTTGCTTATACAGTCCCGTCAAAGCATCCCTATTCAGAAGTTAGAGCAGAAAAGTGAAAAAGCTGGGTGAAAGGGTAAATATTTTGTTGTCCTCATCGCAATGTAGAAAATAGTTTATTTAGTTAATTTATGAGTAAGGCGGCTAACTAGTGGAAGGACCAGAGATAGAGTTGGGTGACTAACCACATTGATAAAAATTAAGAATAGACAGTGACTTTGGACAAAGAACGAACTTCCTCAGGCAGTGTGGAATGCAGTCCCCTCCCTACTAAAGGGAAGTGCAGCTGCTCCCCACTAAGAGCCTGAATTCCCAGGAATTTAAAATGCAAAATAACCAGGTTTTTTTTTTCTCTAAAATCCCAGTTCCCTTTACACCTTACATGTTGAAGAACTGGATTTAGAGAACCTGAGTTCCATCCGGTCATTTTAAATCCACAGAGCCACCTGTGATAGGCAGCCACTAAACAACAATTCCTGTGCTCTGTTTGTCTATAAGTAGCTCTGGATGGAGAGGCCCTGCAGCCACCCACTCAGGACCCCTCCTGGAAACCCAGGAGCTAGTCTTCTTATTTCCAATAAAACTCTCCTAACCTTCTTCTTTAGTTCTCACCTTCATTGCTCTATGCTGTGAGGCCACGACTTCTGCATATCTGACATCTGACAGGTTGGGAGTTATTTTTCCTCTATCACCAATATATAGGCAGCTGACTAGTGTATCTGTATAGGCCGAATTGAATACTCACAGATTTGTGTCAGAGCTCTGACACCTTTTCCCATAGTCTCTCTCCTAGTTGAGGGGGAGGCAGAAATCAGTAGATATCAGTTGAACAGATAGATGAACTAAACAATTTAGGTATGTTTTCCCTACATCCTTCCAACAACCCCATGAAGTAGATACAATTACCGTCCCCATTTTATAGAGGAAGAAACTTTAGAGAATTGATGATCTTGAAACATGCTGGCATGTTTTCAAAGTAAAAATATTTTTCAATAAAAATTAATAAGAAAACAATGACACCAACATAAAGGCATACCCTGTTCAGCACTTATGCTCTGGGCTGGATGTTAGAAATATTACAGTGAAGAACACCAAAGACCCAGTCCTTTCTTTTGACTGTCTCACAATGTTGTAAGACAGTTATAGAAATGAATAAACATAATAGAAAGTGAGGAATATCATAATGAAGGTATGAGTGAAATGCCATTAGAACTAGATGAGGGAGAAGTAATTCTGATTGTTGAGGGATCAGCAGGACCCAAGGGGAGAGAGCAGATTGCCAGGGTAACTACAAAGAGGCAGGTGACAATTGAGCTAGCCCTTAAAGGCAGTCACCATGTAGATGGAAGACGACATGGGTGCTGTGCAGAGAGAGCATTTCAAGCAGAGACTACCAGATGAAAAAGCATCAAAGTATGAGAATTGCATTGTGTGGGTGGGGAAAGGGATAGGGTATGGCCCTAATGGCTGAAATGAGAATGGAGTAGCCAAGAAGGTCAGATTCTAGGCTGCAGATATTAAAAAGTGTTCATTGAGACATTTATAGCTACATGGATGCATCTTGAAGCCATACTCTTAAGTGAAATAAATAGTACACACATGTGTAAATAATGAATTGTTTCTCTGGTGTGAGAAACTGAAAGTGTAAATGAGGGCCAAAATGTATAATAGATATTGTGAAATAGGAAGAAAATGTTCAAAGGGAAAGGGGAACTGGGGGGTAGGGGAAAGGAAAGAAGGGAAAGAAAAAAATTGAAGAAAAGAAGGAAAAAATGGAAACAAAGTTTATGTATATAGGAAGGGTGGAGGAGTTGAAGGGAGGACAGGGGAATGGGAAAAAATAATATATATCTTGTACAGGTACAAATTCCCAATGATGAATGTGATCATAATGTATATCTAAAATGTACCAATAATCTCTATAAATAAATAAAATTAAAAATAATCAATTTCAGAGTTAACTAAAAACAAAGTGTCAAATGTTTAATCATTCAGTCGTTCAATCAACCAGCCAGCCACTTTTGTTGAGGACTTGCTACATGCAGACACCCGTTAAGTGCTGAGAATACAAAGATGAACATGCTCAGTACACAGGGAGAGCATATATATAAAAAAATGAAACACAATCCTAGTATGCTTCCTTGAGCTTGGGAGTGACAAAATCAATTTTAATTCTGACCACTTAGGAAGCAATGTGGAGGATGGATTTAAGGAACACAAGTCTTGACACTGGAAGATCACTTAGGAGACCTATTGGCTGTGATGGCCAGGCTCAAAGTCAATAGATTTCAGGAGCATTTTGACTAAAGTAGATATGCGTGGTAAGGAAATGTCTGAAGTGAGGCTGAGGTTCTGGTTTGAGAGAACATTTGGGTAGTGATGATCTTTTCCAAGTAAAGAAAGATGGGAAGATTGGTTTGGGAGAAAAAAATGATAAATTCAGTTGTCCAACTGATGACTCAAAGTGCCTGAAGAGTCCACAAAGAAGACTGAGGAGGAGGATGACAGAAAAATGAAGAAGCAAGAGAAAGTATATGAAAAAAGAAGAGTGGAAGGTGGTCATAATTGTCAAATGCTACAGAAAAGGTCTTTTGACAGAAGCACCTTTAATTTATCAATGTTTTCACCTACTTATTTCAACTGACTCAATGCAATTCACTATCAGGCAAGTTGACTCAAGAGGACCTATAGATCTCACCTGCATGCCATTGGTACTTACCTGCTCCCACGTTAGAGACATGGGGGTAATGCTGTCGGAGGGAAGCAAATACAAGTCTAAATGAAAGGATATCTGTGGGCCTCACTTTCCTTGAGTTAAAAGGGCTGGTTAAACATACTGGCATACAGGACTGTTCCTTACTTGTAGATTGGCTGAAGGAATAAAGAGAATAAGATATGATGCATTTCACTAACAGAGAGGATCTTATCACTTCTTCCAAAGCATAACTTGGGATACATGGATGAGTTCCAAGGAGTCTATGAGGACCCTGAATTTGTCTGTATGAGGTCTATGTTTATGAGCATTCACATGTTCAAGAAGGTGTATAGCTTCCCTCAATTGTAAAAGGGTACTGTGTTTCAAAAATAATAGCTAAGAACCACTGCTTTTAAATGATAGCCATGAATACTGTCACGCACAGATAACTAAGTGCAGTTTGCAAAGTTTAGCAAGAAGCTGTTGCAAGAGAATTAGCATGAGCTACGGGAATCAGCAATTTGATGCTCAGGTAGAGTCTTGAGGGGCTGGACAGAGAATCCCTACCTTTTGAGGAGGAAGAGGATAAGTTCCTCCCAGGGGAGATTACACCTTTCAGAAAACACACAAGAAGTGTGTGTGTATATATGTGGGGGGTGGTAATTACCACCTGGCTGTCATTGTTTACCATTTCTCTACTGCCCAAACTCAAGCAGTAGTTTTCCATACTTCAAACAGCAGAAGTTTTAAAAGCTCCCAAGGTTCTTAATGAGCTGATTGAAAAGCAGAATCCATTCCCAGGGAAGGGAGGGGGGAAGGGGAGAGAGAGGCAGGGAGAGAGAGAGAGAGGGAGGGAGGGAGAGAAGGAGGGAGACAGAGGGAGGGAGAGGGAGAGAGAGGGAGAGAGAGAGGCAGGGAGAGAGGGGGGAGGGAGGGAGAGAGAGGCAGGGAGAGAGAGAGGGAGGGAGAGAAGCAGGGAGAGATAGGCAGGCAGAGGGAGGGAGGGAGAGAGAGAAGCAGGGAGAGAGAGAGGGAGAGAGAGACAGGGAGAGAGGGAGGCAGGCAGAGGGAGA